AATTTGCCCCCTATTTATTTGAATTGTATCATAAGTATAAATTATGTTAAATTTGGCTTGTCCAAATATCTTAAGTAGAGTTTAGAATACACATAAATTATTTAATTTTTTAAAACATTAAAATATAGACATAAATTTTATAAATGAAACACGGATTAAAAATATATTTTTTGTTACTTTTAAATTAAAGAACGTTTTTGTTACTTTGAAATTGTTCTTGTGTTAAAAAAACATTTCAAAAGAATAATTATATTTGTTGTTATATATTTGGGAACTCCTTTTCATAAAACATATCAAAATTTCTTTTAAAATTTTTGTAAGTCTTTATCATTAATTTCAAACAAAATATATATTTTATAAAAATGTTCTAGAATTTTAATATTACAATAATCAATTTCTAAACTATTTTTAAATGTGTCACGAAATTTATATATAATTTTAGAATGAAAAACAAAAATCTTAGTACTTTTGTGAAATTAATTTTCGTGGGTATAAGTTTTAGTTGGCTAGCTACAATAAAAATTTAAATAGTTTTCTCACAATTTGTTTTGTGTGTGTAGTTTTTGAGTTAGTGGGCTAAATTTAAGTAGTTTTGTGAGATTAATTTTCATAGATATAAGTTTTAGTGGGCTAAATTAGTTGGATAAATTATTTGATAAATGTTGCCATTTCACATTGTTTAGAATGTCATGTCACAATAAATTTTGGGAGAATGATTTTAGATAAGGGGTTGTTATTCAATGAAAAAATTGAAGTGAATTCGAATGAATTTAATATTCTATAAAATTCTAGTGTTATTCGATAAGACATTTTATATATTATTTTAAATTCTCGTATTATTCAATTTAATAATTTCTCAGTTCTATAGAATGCTAGTGTTATTCAATATTTTGTGGGAGTCATGGGTTAATAATGGCTTTTGAAATAATTTAATAGAAAATTAAGGAAAAAACGTGAAGAATCAATTCCCCACTTTTTGGGTGTGATTTGGATTGAATTATTTAAAATCTCAAAACAACCTATAAAATCTCTCCTACAGAATTGGATTTGAATTCTTTCAAATTGAATCATTGAATAACCCTGTAAGCGTTTTTAAAAAAAATCATTTTTCAAATAATGTATAAGAGATATGAGTTAAAAAGAAATGAATAATAAACATTGAATGAATTATAATATTTTTTATTCAGAATATTGTTTTTATTAAGTGAAATTAGGCCATATATTACTTATTGACTCTATATTTAATTATCTAACATCATATAAAATAGAATTTAGTAACTAACATTATAATTACTTGAGATTCTAATTTTATCCTTAATGTATTTATGGTAATTGGTCTTATAACTCCTTTTATTACTATTTCATTTAATACATTATTCCTTTCATGTCAATTTATTTATTTCTCATATTTAAAAAAATGATTAAAGATAAATAATATTCTTACTTTTCTACATTATTATATTAGAAGAAAAAACAATAATCAATATGACAAAGGTTTATAATTTTCAATTTTATTAATTATATTTTTATATATGTAGTTATCTATGTATCTAAATATATTTGGCTAGAATTTTTATTTTTATTACATATAGATTTAATTATGTACCAAATATATTTATTTATATATTTAATTTTCTTCACAAACAGTCAACTATATTTGTTATATTTACGAATAGTTAACTATTATCTAATTTTTTTTTTGTTTATAAGTGAGTATATAGGTAGGTAGATATATAACTAACTATTTTTAAATATAACTACTTGTTTTTTTATAAATAGTTAACTATATACCCACCTATAGTTATTTATATAATACAAAAATTCACAAATAGTCAACTATACTAGTTATATTCACGAATAATTCACTATTATCTATATAGTTAGAAATATATATAATAAATATAGTTAGTTATATATCCATGTATAGTTAGCTATATATAAACATATAGTCGTCTATATAGTTAACTTTATTCACAAACAATCAACTATGTTTGCTATATTCACAAATAGTTCACTATTCTATATAAATAAAATATACTCACAAATAGATTACTATTACGTATTTTCAGTGTATGAAGCATGTAATTCATTATACTCAAACAAATAGTTAATTATACTAAAATAACGTTGACTATTTTGTATTTAAATAGTGAAATAGTTCACTATTTATATCAATAGTATCTAGTATATGATATAGTTCACTATATAATTTATATATGTAAAGTTTAATAAAATAATCAATTATAGAAAGAACAAAAACTGAAAAATGCAGTCAAACGGAAAAAAATATATTTCAACTTCAAATTTTTTTCAAATTTTTTTTTTTACAATAAGAAAAATTTGCATTAAATATGCATTAAATATGACAACTTTAATTGAATTTATTGAAAGGGTAAAATTGTCAAAATTTATTTCTCTTTGTTACTTACTAAATTTACAAACTACACATGTTACTTTATTAATTTTCATACTCAAACATAATATTTAACTAATTAACTCTTTTATTAAACCGGTCATTTTTAATTTGTAGTCAAGTGATTTATATTAATGTTGTTAATTCGTTATAAAATGAGTTTTTAAACCTGTATAATGAATATTATAGACAAAAATAGCATAAAACTATGATTTTATAATATCACCAAAAAAAAAAAGAACAAGAGAAGAGTGGGTTGGTGGAGGAGATCTTGATGAAAATGTGTAATTTGCTTAATTTGAGAGATATGTCGATATAAAATTACGACGAAATACAAAGGCAAAAGTCGGCGTATTCGGGTTCGGATTCAGATTAGGGTATTTTCGGATTTTTTACTCAAAATACTTATAACTAACCGATTTTTTTTCCGGATTTCATTCGATTTAATTATTTTTAATCGAATTATCCAAAAATATCAAAAACAACAAAATAAATTGTAATAATTCAAATAATATACCTAAACTAGTGATTTTCACCCGAATATATCCACAATATCCGAATTGATCG